TGAAGGGAAGCGTTCATCGGTGGGCATTCCGGTGCAGGTAACGGGAAGAGAATTTGGTCTTTTACTGAGCAGTTCATACTGCTATGTGTCTATCGACGCACTTTGTATCTATATCTTTAGATCATGTATTGTATGGGGTTATTACGTGTCCCGCAAATATAAGCGTAAGCTAAGGGATGCAGGATCCGCAGGGTTGCTCTATATGCTACGATTCGACCATTACAGCGCCGTATGAGCAGCCCAGTAATTGAAAGAGTTCCGTTCCATTATGGAGCGCGCCTGGCGAAGCCAGGCCAGCTCGGCGAAGCCGAGCTAAAGAGAAGGAGGAGAGCTCGGCGTCAGCCGGGCGATCCGACTGGTACTCCATAATCTACCAGCTGTCTGCCACCCTCCTATCGCCCTATACTCTCCACTCCCGGGCGCTTCTGGTCGTCGGTGAACCCTGGTAGGCGCTAGCAGAAGCTGGCAGACGCTAGATTGATATCTATATTTCCTAGTCGCTGACGCTGCCGGACGCTCGGAACGCTGGTGGACGCTACTGGTCGCTGGTAGACGCTGCCACAAAGTATGAACGCAGCCTAAAGAACATAGAACCGCCGGAAGATTATTCGCTCCGTGGTTTTTTCGACGGCTGAGCCTTTGAAAGCAGGCTGAATAACAGGTCAATATCCAGGCTAAATAGCGATTACGTGCCTCTGTGACATCTACAAGTACATATCACATTAAATTTTTATTGAGTTCTGAAGAAACTATGTAATCCATTGAGTATTAGAAGACAAGCGATTTCTTGGCGTAAAGTCAGTAGTAACGGCGTTTTTCGTCGGACAAGTCGACAGATTTCCCCAGCTCTTCGGTTTTCTGCACACGTTTCGCTCGTTTTTGTCGTACTGCCCCATCTGAATTAGAGTGTTTCACAGTTTTCCTTATTTGGAGATGACAGCGCTAGTATCCTGACATCCTAGCTCCTTTCCAAGAGTTTGCTAGTAGGGTGGACTAAATTCGGAAACAGAAAAAACAGGGACGTTTGGGTTTGCGCTGTGCTTACTCTCGCAGCAGTGGTGGAAAGGTTTACCTAATAGTAATAGTTTTGCCCATGCAAGCAGATGTTTTCTTGAGGTTTGGGAAGGTTAATTCGAAAAAACCTCTTTGGGTTGAATTGTTTACACTTTCGTACTACTTTCATTTACGCTATGGGGGGAGTGTCACTAAGGTTGCTTCATGTCTGTCAGTCTGCGCGCTCAAAAAAACAAGGAACTTACACCAATAGCAAAGCTTTAAAAGTATGTGACAGTACAAGACAAGACAGACGAAACCAGGCGTGGCGTTGCATGGTCGCAGCCTCGTTGTACATCTTTCAGCTGCTTTTGCCACCATAAATCCCCTATAGAAAGTTAAAAAAACTCTGACCTTGACAAGGAAGGTTATCGCAGCCACGGTCTACCTGAAAAATGTGTTTGGTAAATATGAAAAAGGAAACTGTGATTTTTTTCTCCACTCACGTAAAACGGTGAACGCGATATTGGCGTATCGCTTCCTTGACTCTGTAAAATAGAATAGAGATTGAGTGGCCTTGAGAAAATGGGAGAGTCACATGGAATGAGGCCTCACGAAAATACTGTCATGAACCCTGCAAACGATAGGGTGTGTGACGCGGCGCGGATTGCAGCACAGTCTAGGCACTCTTTCCCATCAATGGTGCCTTCTGATCCCGATACAATTGACAAGAAACCTGACCTATCTGCGCTCCACGCCATGCACCCGTCACATGCCATATCGTTTGCAGTGACAATGACTGTACACTTACTGTATACTCTAGTAAAAATCAATAAAATGTGAATCACGTAATGTAGAATCTCAGCTTTAGAATGCAGGTATTTATTGGGCTGGACTGAAAGTGTTTGTAAACTTTTTGAACGGTCTCCAATGTTCTTACACATTGTGTTAATTGAACACTGCTGTTCCGGAGCGGAGGTGTTGCAGCGGAGGTGCTGAGTGAAGCCACCTCCGGAGATCCTGGACCTTGCCATGTGCGAGGTAAAAGGGACCGCCAGCTGCAGTAGAGTA